CTATGCTGACCCACTGCTTCAAAAGCCGAGTCACTGACCTGGAACACGCAAATCAGGAATCTGCATACAAAGGCCAGATCATTGACTCATGCATTTGTGCCATCAGCTAGGGAACAAGTATCTTCAGGAGTAGATGTCATCAATGGCAGCCTCCATGTTTCCCTCATAACAGGTTCCCTTTAAATCCAACTCTGGGAAAACAGAAAAAGAAGCCTGAGGATGTAAATAAAAAATATAAATGCAGCTCTGGCTGCAATATTCAGCTCTCTGAAGCATTCCTCTGCACAAGTTCCTCTTTGCCACTAGATGTCCTCAGTCTTCCAAGCTGAATGATGCCCAGTGTCAGTGGAGGATATCCTGTGAGTGCAGGATGTCATGGACCCGCCCCCTGATAAGATATCACCAAGGCACCCTGCAATCCCAAAATATTTCTGCATGGTTGAGAACCACCTATCCACAGAGGAACAGAACCTTGCATGTTATGGGGCTGGCCGGAAGATAACAGGACAGGTGAGTATAAAAGACTGAATAAGTATAAAATACAGCTTGGGGGGCTCCGTGGGAAGGAGGAGTGCAACTGGGGGCTAGGAGGAGGAACCCAGAGTGGGGCTTTAAAGTATAACTAAAGGCACAACTTTTTTTTTTTTCTTGGATAGTGCGGAGAGCAATTCGATCCCCGGTCAGATTTTTATTGCTGTCTGTGCCCCTTTTAGGGGATACTAGTTTAATTTGGATATTCACCCTCTCTCGTGTCACTGCAGTGTAAAGAAAATCCCCAAATTTGGGGTTGTCACCAGAACAGGAATAGAGGGGAAATCTTCCAATGGGGACACTAGTTCTGGTGACAACCAGGGATTTCCTGTCACTTCCTGTTTTGGCTAGGGGACAGAAAGTGAAGGGATTTCCTCCTCTCTGAGAGTGAAAGTGAATCCCAGAGAGGAAATCTTCCAATGGGGACACTAGTTCTGGTGACAACCAGGGATTTCCTGTCACTTCCTGTTTTGGCTAGGGGACAGAAAGTAAAGGGATTTCCTCCTCTCCTACAGTGAAAGTGAATCCCAAGTTTTTGGGGTTGTCACCAAAACAGGAATAGAGAGGAAATCTTCCAATTGGGACACTAGTTCTGGTGACAACCAGGGATTTCCTCTCACTTCCTGTTTTGGCTATGGGACCAGAAGTGAAGGGAAATCCCAAAGGGACACAGATGGCAAAAAGAAAAGCCTGACAGGGGTCATAACCTACCTTATGCAGGCCATAGATGGTTCGTTTATCGGCTGAATTTTTGCCCGAAAGAATAATCGGCTGATATTCGCACTGTTAGTGGGGAAATGTCATCAACTAATTTTTGCGGTACCTCCTCATTTCTTTTATCGGTCATGCTGGAAAATTTATGAAAAACGGACGATTTTTCTAATCATTGGTGGCAACAGAACAACCGATTTTTCATTTTTTGGCCAAAAATTCGGCCGATAAACAAACCATCTATGGCCTGCATTACTCTACCCAAAATTTAAACAAAAAATAAAGTTCTGCTCAGGGGCGGACTGACAACTCATGGGGCCCCCGGGCAATAGGGGATCATGGGGCCCCTGTGTCCTTGTCCACACTCAAAGCACACACAAAAAAGCCTATAAAAAGTACCAGGGGCATTTCATGGGGCCCCCTACTGACCCCGGGCATCGCCCGAGTTCTCAAATGGTCAGTCCGCCCCTGGTTCTGCCTTTCATCTTTAGGCTAGGTTCAGAGTCATGTGGTGCGATATATCGCATGTGATTCGCACAGGAACCACACGGCATTCCTGTACATATCACATGCGATTTGTGTGCGATGCAATTGGAGCCATACATTATGTATGGCTCAAATCGCACTGCATCTGCACCAAAAAGGTGCAGGACCCTTTTTTGGGTCCGCAGTAGAATCGGATCGCATGGGTATTCACACCTATGTGATCCGATTCTGCACATTGCACCACGTTTTGCGGACTGATTTCTGGATGTTGTTAACTTAACTTACACACCTGCAGCGGTTCACATGAATGGGGTGCGATTCTGATGCGGTGCGGAATTCGTACAGAAAACGCTGCAAATTCTGGATGGCATCAGTGTGAACCCGGGCTTAAGATCGTCCTCTAAGGTCGCTTTTAAAATGTATTAATGAAGTTACAGTGAGACGTGTCCACCACCTACAAACGATGAATCCGCCTATAACGTGTCGGCTCTGGGCTCTTTTTTTTTTTTTTTATTTCATAACCATGGACAGCATTGACCATGAATCATCTCCCCCTCATTATCTGTCCATGGTATTGAAATCATCTAGGAATAGTTTCTGAGTCAATGACCCGGAACCAGTACGCCGAATAGAAGGCCTGACTTCACTTGCTGCATGCTTGTTCCAACCAGGCAACCAGTACCTTTAAAGGTCAGGAATGAAAAGCCTTCATAATTCTGTGAGAACAATTACCTTTCACGTGTTGAAGGGATTTATAATCCGCTTATTGCAATTTTTTTTTGGCGGGGGGGGGGGGTATAAATAAACAGATATAAGAAGAAAAGTGGAATTAAACCCAATAGTTTAACAGTTTCATTCAAGGCGTACCGTAAATGATGATTGTCTGTCACAGTTGCTTGTACTCTCAACTGAACTATCAAGCCATCAAATGGCTGGCGTCATAACTGATCGCATGTTCAGCACCATGGCATACAGAGGTTAGGATGGCAGTGTCCTTGGCAGGGGCGGACTGACAACTCATGGGGCCCCTGGGCAATAGGGGATCATGGGGCCCCTGTGTCCTTGCCCAAACTCAAAAAAGCCTATGAAATAGGTACCAGGGGCATCTCATGGGGCCCCCTACTGACCCCGGGCCCTCGGGCAGTGCCCGAGTTTCCAAATGGTCAGTCCGCCCCTGGTCCTTGGCTGGAAAAGATAAGAGGGTTTAGTTGGGGCCAGTGCCAGCAATAGGCTTGGGGCACCAGGATAGGAGGGGCAGTAAAATCCCAATCCCCTTCCACTTGCTGGGGATTTAGATTTTTCAAATACCTGATTTCTATCCCATAAGGGTGTGCCCTCTGTCTCCTACCGGGCTCAGGGTGGAAGGCTGGCCATACACTATACAATTTTCTGTTCAATTTCTGCCCAATTTCCTTTAGATTTACCATCAACTATGTAGTGCAAGGGCCTGCTTAATTGGATACAATTGAAAGTGTTGTTCAGGTTTGACCTCCTATTATATGGTTTTTGGTAAATCTAAAGCAATTTTCTAAAGAAAATTGTATAATGTATGGCCAGCCAAAGTTTTAGTTTGCTTCACCTGCCAGCTGCCCGTAGCCAGTGAGGGGAAGTGGGTAAAGTATAACCCCGCCTCCTCATTATACACTGCCATTTAGTGGCAGTTCAGAGCGGGGGGGGATGGGGACAAAGGGTGGGAGATGGAAGCGGTTAATGAACGGGACATGGGGACAGGATAGTGGGCATGGTGAGATGAGAACAGAGCAGAAGCCCTGGGTAGATGGGGCGTCATGAGGCAAAGCAAGGAACAGGGGCGGACTGACAACTCATGGGGGCCCCCGGGCAATAGGGGATCATGGGGCCCCTGTGTCCTTGCCCAAATTCAAAAAAGCCTATGAAAAAGGTACCAGGGGCATCTCATGGGGCCCCCTACTGACCCCGGGCCCTCGGGCATTGCCCGAGTGCTGGAATGGTCAGTCTGCCCCTGGCAAGGAACATGGGGTTGATGGGAGTTGGGGGGGGGGCAGCACAATGTACCTTCACCCATGTAGATAAAATCTTTGCACCGTCTCTGAGTTCAGTTCCGTTTTAAGGGTTCATTGGCACTGGCGGAAGCCCTTACCGCCCCCCTGAAAAGCAATCACTGGAACGTTTTTTCAGAGGGTGACAGGTGCCTGGGAGGCGATTTGTCACCACTCTAACCCTGAAAAGCCTGAACCACCATGCGGCATATGTGTACATTGTATGTGCAAGAGTGTGGCTGTACAAACCCCCCTGGCTGCTGTGCTAGGTGAAGGGGAGAAGTAAAACTGCAACCCCAGATTTTACCACCCTCGTTGCCCAAACACACATATGAACGAACTCTAAGGGTGCAACAAACATAAGGAACTTCATGACGGTCGATCAGACAAAAACCCATCACCTTATGCTGGCAATACACTGTACAATATCATTGCACAATCTCCATTAGATCTACCAACAACTATGTAGTGCAAGGGCCTGCTTGATTGACAGGACCGGGGCAAGGGGTGGGCAAGAGGGGCCGCTGCCCTGGGCGCAGCAAAGCAAGTGGGCAGAGAGTGAATGTAGGGCGGTACACCCAGATTGGATAGTAACTGAATAGATTGCTTACGTCTGTCCACCTATTACATGGGTATGGTAAATCTATAAAGGACGATGCAGAGATCGCACAATCAGACTGTATAGTGTATGTCAAGGTTGTACAGGTTGTATAGTGTATGTCGAGGTTGTATAGTGTATGTCGAGGTTGTGTACAGGTTGTATAGTGTATGTTGAGGTTGTATAGTGTATGTCAAGGTTGTACAGGTTGTATAGTGTATGTTGAGATTGTATAGTGTATGTCGAGATAGTACAATCAGCTTGTATAGTGCATGTCGAGGTTGTATAGTGTATGTTGAGGTTGTATAGTGTATGTTGAGGTTGTACAGGTTGTATAGTGTATGTTGAGGTTGTATAGTGTATGTTGAGGTTATACAGGTTGTATAGTGTATGTCAAAATAGTACAATCAGACTGTATAGTGTATGTTGAGGTTGTACAGGTTGTATAGCGTATGTTGAGATAGTACAATCAGATTGTATAGTGTATGGTGAGTTTGTACAATCAGATTGTAATGTGTGTAGGGAACTTAGAGGAGATGTTACAATCAGATTGTATGTTGCATGTCCAGGATTAGCTCATACACGGAGTTCTATATATTTAATGATGAATTATTACTGAACTTCTGAAACAGAGCAGCTTTCCTATCCCGCCATACCTCATCATAGAGCCGGTAGATCTGAACGCCCATGGTGTCGGTGAACAGCTCCCATCCCCCGGTCAGTACCGGATCATCCAGCTCGCCCCAGGCCTCCTGGAATTGATCTTCGTTAAAGCGGAGCTCCATGTCTCCCGGGACCCGGCACAGCAGTGGCTGCTCTCAGTACGCGGGCTACGTCATCGATCGAAGCGCGCCATAGCCAATCAGCACGCGTCAAAGTGACAGCCGCCCAATCAGACATCGCGAGGTGCTTCCGTGTTAACTGCGGCATTAGCAGTACAGTGGAATCCGGTCTATTGTTCCTGTGTGCTGAATGAGGGCTGACAGTGTTAGCAGAGTGCCGACTCCGCACATTCCCGCTGGGGGGGCTGCGATCTGCAAATATCGGAATAAGGGGGCGGACACCTGTGTGATAAAGGGGGGCTGATCTTCTCACTATATATATATATATATATATATATATATATATATATATATATATTTGTTCTCATTTTCTTTTCACCATATATATATATTATTTTTTTCTCTCTCTCTCTCTCTCTCTCTCTCTCCCCCCTCTTTCTCTCCCCCCCCTCTTTCTCATTCTCTCTCTCCTCTATATACTGAGGCAAGTATACACTAGGGATGTGCTTTGTTCATATTTCCTCCCTGAGGTTTACAACCACTTGCTTGCTTGCAGCATTTGTCCTTTCCAGAAATCCTTTGTAAATCACTTGCAATACGACCATTCCAGGAACAGCTGATTTCCTATCTCAGCCATAGTTCTCTCTCCATTCTTGCACATCATTGTCCTCCTGGAGGGTCTAATTACTGCCTGTGCTGGTCTAGCTCCACCACTCCTCCCCTTACTTTCCTACATAACCTTTTCTGTACGTACCAGTTTAAAAGAACAAGCTTGCCAGCTGAATGTACCAGTTACAGAGATGAGACAAACCATTTAACACTGGCAGGGGCGCTTACAATGATCAGCATTTATTTATGGAAAACCTTCGCCCTAGGTTCACATCTGTGCGGGTGGTGCCACTGTGGATCCGCACGCAAATCCATGCAGCCGCACCACCTGCACAGAGGAATGCGGACCCTCATAGTTATAATGGCATGCCGCCCACACTGGCAAACGCAACCGTACTGGGAACCGAGGTTCCTGTGCGGGCTGCGTTTTACAAAGAAGTGCAGGGACGTCTTCCCTGCATGTCACAGGCACAGGAGTCCATTCAAATGAATGGGCTCTCGTGCCCGCGCAAAACGCAGCACGCACGGCCACATAGATGTGAACGGGGGGTTATCTCAAAAGAAAAAAAAATGTTTGCTGTAACCAGGGGTGGACTGACAAGTCATGGGGCCCCGGGCAATAGGGGATCATGGGGCCTCTGTGTCCTTGCCCAAACTCAAAAAAGCTTATGAAAACGGTACTAGGGGCATCTCATGGGGCCCCCTACTGACCCCGGGCCGTCAGGCAGTGCCCAAGTTTCCAAATGGTCAGTCCGCCCCTGGCTGTAACTGATTATAAAGTGTTGACTGGAGTGTGGCTTCAGTTTGTTAGTGTATCTAAGTCTGCTAGTCCATCTAACACTCCCTTCCCCACAGAGACTCTCAATGCTGCTGTCTGTCCCCTGTTCTCCTTCATCTAAAGTGGGAGTGCTATAATACAGGAGGCATGTTACTGACCAGATTACTAGGTGAAAACAGGAAAAAAGATAACTAAAATAGAAAACTAATGCAGCCACCACATCAAATGATTGGTAAGCTGTGTTATGTTACATTTTTGATTTTGGGTTACTACCGCTTTAATATAAAGGCCAAAAAATTCCTGTGAATTTATTGAGTTCACAAATGGAAAATGGTTTCCCGGCTTACAAGCAAAGTGCACTGTGTAATGGAGGATTATCCAGCACAGAGAGGATACGTGGCTGGTTATGTATTGCTGGACTGTTGCTGTCTGTTCTCATGATTACATCTGTGTTACATTTGTTTCTTTTTTTTGTATGTATCAGATAGTTTTCTCTGTATGGACACATTGTTCATGCACATTACATTCTGTTATCTTTTTTTTAACTACTTCCCTACCAAGACAATTCTGATTTTTCTCTCCTACGTGTAAAAAATCCAAATTTTTTTTGTCCTTTTCAATGGTTTGCATTTGCAATGAATGGACGGCAGTTTGCGGACTCTGCTGTTCAGCAGTACTCTAATGCCTCATAAGAAAATCGTCCGAAAAATTTCATAGAAAGCTGATCGAACGATTTTCTCTTCGTATGATGAGCAGGATGTTTTAACCGATAACGATATTGTGAACGAAAAAATCCGGTTGAACAATAGTGAAAAATGTCATCGTTTTGCATACGAATGACCGATTTTCTATGCGGTGGTATGATGGTCGTACGAAAAAAATCTATCAAGCGCTATCACGCATGAGCAGAAACAGAAGATGATCCGGATGTTTATGGCCAAGGAATCTTCATAAACACGAACGAAAAATCCAAATGGTAAAATGTAGATTGGCCTAATGAGATAATGACACCAGAATTCTGCATATTATACAGTCAGGTCCATAAATATTGGGATATCGACACAATTCTAACATTTTTGGCTTTATACACCAACACAATGGATTTGAAATGAAACGAAAAAGATTTGCTTTAACTGCAGACTGTCAGCTTTAATTTGAGGGTATTTACATCCAAATCAGGTGAACGGTGTAGGAATTACAACAGTTTGCATATGTGCCTCCCACTTGTTAAGGGACCAAAAGTAATGGGACAGAATAATAACACTGTTCAACAGGTAAAAAGTTTTGGGCATAAAATTAGCTAATCTTACATAATTTTGGGGTGCTGAAAACGAAAATGACCCTAAAAAATGTTGATTGGCTCTAGTTTCCATGATATATTCACCCATCTAATGACGTAAGCCATTCAAAATTATGATGCAACTTCAGCTGCATATTGCGCAATTGATACTGGTGACCAATAGAAAATTGCATGTATACTGAGATGATGCAATATTAGCCTTTAATTGCATCACTTCACTGCATAAAAGCTGCAGTATCTGTAGCTGATTGTAGTTGGACAGCGTCTTTACATTTCGTTTTATGCTTATATAGGCTACTCAGTAATGCCTCGAACTTGTGTGAATAAAGCAGATAATTTCTGTTATATCTGCGGTGAAATAACTTTTATCTCACAAAAAAGGAGGATAACAGGAATGATTAAGAAAGCCTACAACTTGTATTTTGGCTGCAAGATAGGAGACCAGGACAAGAGCTGGGCACCACATATATGCTGCAATTCTTGTGGGACGGCACTGGAGCAATGGTTGAATGGAAAAAAAGGCATCTATGCCTTTCGCTGTGCCAATGATTTGGAGAGAGCCAACAGATCATGTTAGTAATTGTTACTTTTGTATGGTGCCTCCAATTGTAAAAGGGCTAAATAAGAAGAAAAAGTTATCTGTGCACTATCCAAATATTCCATCGGCAATACGTCCAGTTCCTCATGGAGAGGGGCTACCAATTCCTAAAGCACCAGAATCCTTCGTGGTTGAGTCAAGTGAGGAAGAACCTGAAGCATGTAGTCACGTGCAGTTGTAAGAGATAGCCCTTTCCTCGAATACAAGAGAAAAGCCAAGAGAAGCAAGACCGACACAAACTGAAGACAAAACTTGTGAGAATCCTAAGTATTAAAATGATTCAACTTAGCTTATGGCTATAATTTTTCTTGGTAATCCTATGCAATATATTATGCCATTTAGGCTTTGTTATGTAGTCAATATCACTTGATTTATATTTGTGGAAAGACATCTATCTATATAATTATTGTGCATTATGTAGTCATTACGCCTATAGTAGAAAACTTTCCGTTTACAGAAAATCTAGAGACAATTGACAAATTTCATTGTTATATTTGAACTCAGAATGTGAAATTCATTAAGAAATGGATCCTTTTGTTTCCAAAACTGGCAAAAAATAAAAATATGTTGAACAGTGTAATCATAAATCAAACCACTTTTTAATATTGTTTTATCATTTGTGAATAAACTATATTTTGGAACATACTACACTATCTCTGGCACCTATTTTTTGGAGCTCCTTTGTGGAGCTATTGCCCCTGCAGAGAAGGTGCCTTTATTATCCAGAGGAGGGAGCATTATCATTCAAGTGGATTACCCGACTGACCTTAAGGGGATCTCTGGATCTGAATTGGAGCTCTCACTATATCCAAACCTGATGACCAACCCTTAGATGGATGCCCACCACCTGGCTCATGGCAGATTAAACACCTATGAGGATCATTACTACATGCGCATAATCCATGCGTTTCTGGTGAGTGCGCATTGCTACTATTTGAGGCATTAGGCTCTGGAAAAATTTTTCATCTCTCTAGAGAACACCGTGGATGCTACCTGTTCAATCTGATTGACTTATACAATTTATCCTATCACACTTTTGCTGCATTTTATTCATTATTTAGCGCTGCACTTTATTATTCTTATTGCTATTTCAAAGGTATTGTGGCTGCCTCAAGTGTTCTAGCTGCTATACGTATGCGAGAGCGCTCACTACATTTTGTTTTTTACCTGATTGTATCACCATGGGTTTTTTAATTTTTTTTTGCGCTATAAAAAGAAAGACCAAACATTTTGAAAAATAAGCAATATATATTTATTTTTTTTGCTATAAAACATATCTCATAAGAAAAAAAATGTTATTTCTTCTAGAATTTAGACCAAACTGTATTTTGCTACATGTCTTTGGTAAAAAAAAAAAATCTTTAAAAGCATGTATTAATTGGTTTGCTGGAAAATTATAGCATCTACAAATGACGGTATATATACTGGAATTTTTTTTCTTCTATACCAGTAATGGCGGCGATCAGCAACTTATAGCGGGAATGTGATAGTACAGTGGGCATTCTGACACTGACTGACACTGACTAACTGCCACTGACATGACCAGTGACATTTATCAAGTGATTACTGCTAATAAAAAGCACTGACACTGTACTTACGACACTGGACAGGAAGGGGTTAACATCTGGGCAATCAAGGGGTTAAGTGTGTTCCTAATTATGTGTAATGTATTGACTGTGTGCTGTTTTATTAGGGGATGTGACAGTTTTTGTCTCTTTGCAAAGCAGGAA